GGGGAAGATGATTGTGGCTTAGGAGAGGAGCGAGAGAGGGGCCGCAGAACGAGTGATTGAGGCCAGGGGCTGAGTGATCACTGGACAGAGCACAGACAGCGGCGAGCAAATTCCCCGGATGAGCCACAAGAAGGTGCCGCCAAGCAGTGAGTAGCTGACCCTGTTACACCCTCACATAGGGAGAGTGATCTAGAGGGTTCAGGAAGGGGGCTAGGAATTAACAACTCCCAGGTTCCAATTTTGGCTCTGCTTAGGACTTCTGGCCTTGGGCAAGTTAGTTATCCTCTATTTCCTCCTCTGTAAAGTGGAGAGAACACGTACCTACCTCCCAGTGGTGTTGTGAGGATTAATTGCCAGTGCTGTTAAGGTCTCTGCCCAGGATCTATTACGTTAGGAAATTAAATAGAAAACAAAGCTTGACTCTACGAGTGCCACTGATCTTTTAGATCAGGAGTCTGAGCAGTATCTGGCTCCTGCACGGATTCCTTGCAGCTTAGATTGTGAGCACCATGGAGCGGGGACCATCCCTTCTTGTCTGTCCGGAAAGCACTTACCATGCTGCAGGTCCTAACCAGCAAATAATGCACACTAATGAATATATTTATGCATATAAGCCCCATTTTCCCCAAGCAGCACAGCAGAGTATTATGTTATCATGGTCCAAATGACAAAACATTTCCGACGCTTACTAGACACGTTTTTATTTAATTTCTATGAACTGATTAATAGGTGTTTATGAATGGAACGAACAGTCATTTTGAGAAACAATTGTTCAGTGCACTTTTAAACCTCAGGAGTGTTTTCAGTCATATCTTTAGAAGAGGAACTGCACTGTCTACAGTAATAACTACAAAAGAAGTTTTTGTAGTTATTACTGTAGATGGTGCAGTCTTGTGACTTGTGCTACAGCTGCTCTGAAGAGTTTAGACCGAAACCAATTTTTCCCTGAGGAAGCTTTTCTTAGGACTTTGGGACAAACTGAACTGGTATTAAAATCAGTGGAATTACTCACATACTTACAATTAAGCACGTGCTGTGCTGGATTGGGGCCGGAGTGCTGAGCACACTGCAGGATCAAGCTCTCTCAGCAACCAAAAAAAAGAGAGTTACCTTTTCTGTAACTGGTGTTCTTCAAGATGTGCTGCTCATGTCCATTCCATAATAGGTGTGTGCGCTTGCCACATGCACCGGTGCCGGAAGTTTTTCCCTCAACAGTATCTGTAGGGGCTGGCTCTGGCGCCCCCTAGAGTGGCACACGCATGGTGCGGTATAAGGGACGCCGCTGGCTCCCCCCACCCTCAGTTCCTTCTTGCCAGAAACTCCAGCAGTGGGGAAGGAGGGCGGGTCGTGGAATGGACATGAGCAACACATCTCAGAGAACACCAGTTACAGAAAAGGTAACTTGTCTTTTCTTCTTCGAGTGCTTGCTCATGTCCATTCCATATTAGGGGACTCCAAAGCAGTACCCCTGGAGGCGGATAGGAGTTCACGGACGTGTAGATTGCAACACAGCTCTGCCGAACCCAGTGTCAACCCTGGGCTGTTGCGTGATGGCATAATGAGCAGTAAATGTGTGGACAGAGGACCACGTTGCGGCTCTACAGATGTCCTGGATAGGGATGTGCGTCAGGAAGGCTGCTGAAGACACCTGCGCTCTCGTCGAGTGGGCTTTGACAATTGGCAGCTGCGGAACCCCCGCCAGGTCGTAACAGGTCCTTATGCACGAGGTGATCCAATTGGAAATCCTCTGTGAGGACACCGGGTGAGCCTTCATCCTATCTGCTGTAGCGATGAAGAGCTGAATTGATTTACGGAAAGGCTTGGTACGTTCTAAGTAAAAAGCCAAGGCTCTCTAGATGTCCAGGGCGTGGGGACGCCTCTCCTCACTTGTTTTGTGTGGTTTGGGCCAAATGTTATGACCTTAAATTCTGTGGACTTCAACATGCAAAGTGGATGAGATACACTTTACCCTGGCTGAGAGAATACTTCTGTCACGTTCCTGAAGAGCCCCCTAAAGCATTTATTCACACGGCTTTCAAAAAAGCCACAATTTGATATTTTATGGTCTGGGTAAACAGTGCAGTATATGATCACACACTAGTCCCATCAGTGTAGTTTCTGAGGACCCTCACAATAGTCAATATATCTAGCCTCATAACGCCCTTGTGAGGGAGGGCAGAGCTACTATTCCCATTTTACAGACGTGGAAACTGAGGCACAGAGAGGCTAAGGGTATGTCTACACAGGAAAAGAACCTGCAGCTGGCCCGGGCCAACCAACTCAGGCTCACGGGGCTCTGGGGCTGTTTCATTGCTGTGTAGACTTCCGAGCAGAGGCTCTCCCACCCTGCCGGGTCCTAGAGCCCATGCTCCAGCCTGAGCCCGGAAGTCTACATAGCAATGAAACAGTCCCGGAGCCTGAGCCCCACAAGCCCAAGGCAACTGGTGCCCAAAGTCACACAGGAAGTCTGCAGAGAACCATGCACCCTGTCTTTCAACCTTGCTGTTTGTCACTTAAGATACTTGCATAAAGACTGGATATTTGATTTCATCTACACATGCAAAAAAATGGAACCGCCACCAGTTGTAGCAGTTTTATATCAGTGGTGCTGAAGCTCTTCCCACCATTTGATCTAACACTGCTCAGAGTCCAAGGATACTTTATGATGGTCTCTTAGGGCAGGAAGTTGCTCAATCAGGTTGATTTCTTTAGCCTTGTCTATACTGGGAAAATGTGTTAACTAATACGTTTTAACTAGCACAACACAACTGCCCCATGTCTTAAATGAGATTTACCATTGTGTTAGTTAAAATGTATTAGTTAACATTTTCCAACGTGAGTCATTTTCCCAGGACAAAGAAGACCTAGTTGAGATTTCACTGCAGGTTCTTCCACGAACCTAGGTGATTCGGGGGAAAAAGCAGCAGCAGCATGAAGTGAAAAGCTCCTCTTTATAAAGCAACGTCTAAGGTGGCAGCAAGAACGCAAGATGTGGGGGGAGCATATGGCTGTTTGATGTGGGGGGTGGAGAGCTCTTTTAGCACTGAGGGTGCTAGCTATCATCAAAGTGACTCCAGGAAAAAGATATAGCATTCTAGAAGCCTAATGAGATCCGCTATTATGGAAAAATAGGGTCGCTATCTGTTTCCAAAGTGGTAACTATCGTCTGAGCAAAGCAACTTATTGATCTTTCAGCAAGCAAATACTGGGAAGCAGTCATTCCCTATCTTTTTCGCTTTGGGGAATTACTGATAAGATAAGGAAATGAGATATATTCATTACAATGGGCACTGTCAAGGTCAGGAGGTTCCATATTTGATTCACCGTCCTCCTTGCCTTGAGCTGTTTAAAAAAAACATGTCAATATTTATGCAGGTGTTCCACCTCTCACCCTTGGTAAAGTCCCCCTCCAATGCTTCAGTGCTTTGTCTTCCGTAGAGCCCTGTTTATCTGATCCCTGAATGCCTGTCCTGTCTGAATTATAGCTGCCGTCCCGTATTAGTGCTTGTATGTCAGACACTTTCTCAAACTGACAATGACCCCAAATATTTTGCTGTCCCTGAAAAGTTGTGAACATAGGAGATGTACTGACTATTTAATTCCACACCAGTAGCACAGTACTCAGGAGCAATCCTATAACAGATCAGCATACATGCATGATGGGGGGGAAGATTTTTGGTAAATTTCAACCTTCCAAGGAGCAGATGTGATAGCCAAATAGTATCTTATCCCACAAGTAGTTTAAAAAAAAAAATTAAATTTCCGTGGGACCACTCTTCATGGAGCAAGATGTTACTCAATATCAATAAAGATGTCAGAATCTGGCCCCATAGTATTATTATACTGAATCTAAGAATGATTTCTAAAATGATGAAAAAATCTCAAGTGCCTTTTTAAAAAACAGCCACACCACATCTATTTCATGTTACTTGATATTTATATAGCATCATGAATTAAGAGAGAGACCCTGTGATCCAAAAAGATTTGATCAGCCGAACAGGGGACAGAGAGGAAGAAACAGGAGAAAGGACGAGAGGACTATAACAAAGTATTAAGAATGATATTACATTGGCTATGACGCATCAGTTAAGAATGAACTAGCACAGAAATGGCAGCGAACAGTGGGAGGTGAAGGGAAAGGAGCAGTTTGAAGGACAGTGAGCATTTCTGACACTATGGAAAAAGGAAGATTTCACGCTGACCTCTACTCTTTGGACAAAAGCATCAAGTCTGAAGTGGGAGAAGGAAAAAAAAAGGTAACAAAAAGATGAGGACTGTGCAGTAAAGATTAAATGTAGATGACAATCCCCTCCCATTATTTATTGCTTTTAATAGCTGCTTTAGAAATCCACCCCACCAGCCACGCCCTGCCCCCTCCCCCTAAGAGAAAACATGCACTGAGTCCAGAAAGTGAGACCCTCCAGATACAACCATTCAAGGTAGGTAAACTGTGGCGCTACTAGCTTGACAGCATTGCTCAACGGTCTTCTTCCACTGCTCTCTCTCAGGGCAAACAGTACCAATGGTAACTGAAAACGAGGTCTCACCTTCAGTGGGTGGGAAGCCCTCAAAAGGCAAAAATGCACATGCTGCACATGTCTGAGCAAGCAGGCCATTTGCCATGCACTCACCAACTCAGAAGTTACGTAGGAAAAAGATCGACAGTGTTATCTAGTCCAGCTAACTCTCTGGAGGATACTGCAGCTTTGTTCCCTACAATACATTCTCCGGTGCTTTTTCCAGTCCCACTTCAAACAACTTAAGCGAAGGGGCTTCTTTTGGAACACTATCGCACAGTACAAGATCTCTCTTTATTTACTATGCCATTAAACCACCCTGAAAAATTCATCTCCCTCTGTGTTTCTAGGCAGCAAGTACCCACTGTTACCCTTTCCCCTACTCCCCATGCAATGGTCCCACCAAGCCATAATCTTGTTTTCACTCTCAACTCTTCTACTCTCCCCTTTCCCCAAATCTGAAGAGCACGGGATCCTACTTACGGTGCTCGATCATAGTTCAACCCATTCTGTCTTTGTGCGTTTATTGGAGGTAGAACAGGTTTGCTGTTAATCTCAAGCCCTCTCCGCAAAGTCTCCCTGATTTGCTCTGTATCTGCAAAGAGAGTTTGTTTGAACATGGTTTAGTACGCGCACACACACACACACACATCCCCCCCCCAAACATCTGCTAATGAGAACCTGAGGGAGTCAGCTTCTTTTGGGGTCTGTTTCTATAACAGGTATTCAATTGAGCTCACCCCCTTTGCCTGGGTGCAGAAAGAGGTGCTCTCCATGACACCTCAGGCTTATGAAGTTATTTCTCTGCAGTCCATTTCCGTTCTTCCATTTTGGTGCCCCCAATGTATATCCAACCTTCCAGCAAGGAAGGATGGAGCCTTTGGTAAGAAGTCATCCAGAGGGGGAATGTTAAGCAATTAGGTATCTCATCCACCCCTTTTCATAGGGAAAAAGTTCTCCCAGAACCGCCTGAATTCAAGACACATCTAACTCTTTGATGCTGAGAATTTTCCCAACCAAGTGACACAATGGAAGTTTATCCCTTTATCAGATTAATTAAAGACGACTCCCATAACTTCTACATTTGGCTTTGCAAGCCTGTCAGTTAATTTAAACACACTCATGTGAGTGGGCTCCAAGAAAGAAAGGAACTGAACTGAATTTTACACAGGGCAAAAGTTCATCCTGAAACTTAATTTTCACATTTAGCTTCATATACACATTAAATGCAGTCCTTAACCTTTACATTTTTTCAATAATGTCTGATAGACAAATATATTACAGGGAAATTTGCATGCAAGCTTTCCTAACAAGCTCCCCCTACTTTTGTGAAAGGTTGGAGTGAAATATTCTATATAAAGCATTTCAGAATCATCTGAAGGGCATAACATAAATATGACTTTGTATAGATCTCCCAGATTTTTCATTTGGGGGACCGGGGAGGAGGGGGGAATTGGTGTCTTATGTACTGTGACTTACATACCCCCAAGACTGCATTTTTCAGTTAAAAAAATGGAAGACAAGAAAAATATTAACTATGTCTACAGAAACCATCATTACTTGCTTTTAAATGTCAATTCCTATCAATCAGACTTCCCCACATTTTATTGTAATAAATCTATATGGATTTGAAAGATCTCATTTAAACAGGACTTAAATTACACACACTCATGTGTGCACCACATCTATCCCATGTGTAACCCAAAATGCCACCTCACTATAAGGTCTCCAATGTTCTCAGCCCGTTCTCCAAAGCCCCTTATTTACAGGTACCATTTGAGTTATTGTTGCGACAAGCAATGTCAGTCCAAGTTGACAGCCAATACTTGGAAATATTATATTAGAATTAGAGCCAGGTGGGGGAAACAACTATTGTGCACAGGTGTCTGATGAGCCTTTTTGGTTTCCTGTGACATGGGCTTGCTTCCTGAGTTTTACTCTGGACTTTCAGATTGGAATTAACCCCAAAACAAAGCTAAACTCAGACAGTCACCTGAAAGAATAAATTCCCTCCTTCCCTGAAGAGGGTGAAGTTGAGCAGGGTTGGGGTTTGCAATGAACCCCAAGATTGGGCACAACTTGAATGTGAACTTTCAAGCTCTATAGAATAGTCCTAAGGCTATGCAAACCAAATGCTTCAAGTACATAGGGAATGTCTTGGGGGGAGAGGGGGAGAAGGGGACTGACTCAGTCAAGTCCCTCTTACCTTTCCCAGACAGCCGTCGTGGCTGCGTTCCAATGCAAATGCTTCTACTGTCTTCGTCATCCTCTGGGGGCCGGCTCAGATCATCCCAGGCACATTTGGCGCTCACTCCACTCAGGTTCGAGCCATCTGTCTCAATTCCTTTATCGACTCTCTCCTGCTTGAAAAGATCCCAAGAGCCATGACTTTTTTGGGTGTGGTTTGGATCTAAGCAGCTGTCAGAAGCACAGTCTTGCAGTCCACCTGTTACCAGCTGAGTGCAAAACAGCTCCTTTCCAAATCAGCTCCTGGGTGACTAAAGCTACGATCTCGGACACGCTTCTAAAAGACCCAAAGCGCAAGCAGCATGGATATACTATCTCTGCAAAATGACCAGATTACTTCCGCTCTTCATTCAATTCTTAACCTTGTATCAATGTTACAAACCACAGATAAACTCAATGAATGTAGCAATGAGCAATTACTTTTTGTGCAATGTTCTCTGAGGTTTTGCATAACTCTCCCTTTGATTACAAACACATGAATGCCCTGCACCTCTGGAGTCAGAATTTCCCAGCACACAAGAGACTACTCCGGTGAGGTTTACACAATGGGTATGTCCACACCTGACTTTTTGGACATCAGATAATAAGTGCTGACTAACACCACTGTTTGTTCTTAGACACCACAAGTTTTCCAGGACACACACATTTGTTGCTAGCAATCTTCAAACTTTGAGCCGCAGCCAAAAATTTAAGTGTAGGCCTACCTAGTGAAGGAACTATTTTTAGTCTGGATTTCCAGCTTTCACCACTAGGGGATGCTGTTAAGCTAAACCACTTTGAGGTTTCAGAGTGGTAGCCGTGTTAGTCTGTATCAGCAAAAACAACGAGGAGTCCTTGTGGCACCTTAGAGACTAACAAATTTATTGAATTGGCCTCGTTAGCACTGACCTCTCACTTGGTAAGGCAACTCCCATCTTTTCGTGTGCTGTATATATGACACACACACACACACACACACACACACACACACACACACACACACACACACACACACACACACACACACACACACCTTACTGTATTTTTCACTCCAGGCATCTGATGAAGTGGGCTTTAGCCCACGAAAGCTTATGCCCAAATAAATGTGTTAGTCTCTAAGGTGCCACAAGGACTCCTCGTTGCTTTCACTTTAAGGTTGAAATACAGAGATGAACTCCGCTTCTATTCATTGTACGCATTTGAATGCAAATGTGGAGCTTTCTTCCTGGTTTCAATTTGTACACAGTAAAAGTGACAGTTTTGTCTGCTCCACCCACGTTTTAAATAGAGGAGTTTTTGCTTCAGGTTACTGACTCAAGCATGTTTGGATGTTAGATGCTCTGAACTTTGTTTTTCAGTCATCAGATTTTAATGGAAACTTACATGCGGTATTTGTATCCTCAGAGTTTCCAGATTGTCAGTGCAAGCCTCTTTGCCGTTGCAGTGGTTTAAAAGGGGTGGTTTGTTCAACATCTTTATTAATGGAGCCTGTCTTGTTCAACAACTTTATTAATGATCTGGATGATGGGATGGATTGCACCCTCAGCAAGTTTGCAGATGACACTAAGATGGGGGGAGAGGTAGATATGCTGGAGGGTAGTGACAGGGTCCAAAGTGACCTAGACAAATTGGAGGATTGGGCCAAAAGAAATCTGATGAGGTTCAACAAGGACAAGTGCAGAGTCCTGCACTTAGGAAGGAAGAATCCCATGCATTGCTACAGGCTGGGGACTGACTGGCTAAGCAGCAGTTCTGCAGAAAAGGACCTGGGGATTACAGTGGACGAGAAGCTGGATATGAGTCAGCAGTGTGCCCTTGTTGCCAAGAAGGCCAACGGCATATTGGGCTATATTAGTAGGAGCACTGCCAGCAGATTGAGGGAAATGATTATTCCCCTCTATTCGGCACTGGTGAGGCCACACCTGGAGTATTGCATCCAGTTTTGGTCCCCCCACTACAAAAGGGATGTGGACAAATTGGAGAGAGTCCAGCGGAGGGCAACAAAAATTATTAGGGGGGCTGGGGCACATGACTTACAAGGAGAGGCTGAGGGAACTGAGAGGTTATTTAGTCTGCAGAAGAGAAGAGTGAGGTGGGATTTGATAGCAGCCTTCAACTACCTGAAAGGGGGTTCCAAAGAGGATGGAGCTAGGCTGTTCTCAGTGATGGCAGATGACCGAACAAGGAGTAATGGTCTCAAGTTGCAGTGGGGGAGGTTTAGGTTGGATATTAAGAAAAACTTTTTCACTAGGAGGGTGGTGAAGCACTGGAATGGGTTACCTAGGGAGGTGGTGGAATCTCCATCCTTAAAGGGGTTTTTAAGGCCCGGCTTGACAAAGCCCTGGCTGGGATGATTTAGTTGGTGTTGGTCCTGCTTTGAGCAGGGGGTTGGACTAGATGACCTCCTGAGGTCTCTTCCAACCCTGATATTCTATGATTCTATGAAAAGGCTGACTCCAAGCTAAAGTAAACATCAACCACCAGCGTTTCTATCCAGTTTTACATTGCATTACTTACGTACCCCATCCTCACCTTCAGAGGTACCTCAAGTTTAATGTCTGCAATTACCAAATTCCTGCTTATGTTGCGAGGTCCCTGCATGCTCTGGACTGGTGACATAAGGATCAGGGCTACGAGTCAGCTCAATAGGGGGAAGGTCATTCTATTTATAGGCAAAACTGACGCCATCTCTAAGAGTTCCACTAAACCAGTGCCAATTTCTCAGCACTGTGTAAAGTCAGGTTCACCCTTCCCTTGCTAGCATCCTTCAGTGGTGCTACCAACGCCTCTGCTTCAATGCATACCTCAAGGACATCTCAATAGGAGCGAGAAGCCTAGCAAACTGTGAAGCAGCAACTTCAGGCATTCAGTGAAAAAATGGTTCTTCAAGTGGTACATACACACTCCAGTATCAGCAATGACGACTCCTTATCTCTACTTTAGAGCTCTGCTCTAATCCTAATCTAATCTAATCCTGTTAGGTGCTTGGCGTACTCAACTCCCATTGACTTCCGTGAGAGACTTGGAAGCACTTAACATTTTGCAAGATTAGTCCCATAACAAGAAGCATCTCTGCTAATCCCTGATGTACCTCTGTCACCCACACTCAACTGCATATGCTGTAACCTACAAAGCAGTGTGGACTGTTCTTGTGATTGTGAGATGGATTCAGAGCAGTCCAAGATCCACACAACTCAGCCGGAGGCAACCAACACCGCTGAGTATATAGCTGTCCTCTTAGGACCAAGTTCAGCCCTGGCTTAACTGGGCACAATTCTCATTGACTTCAAACAGGAAGCATGTCTGCTTATGCCAGGGCTGCATTTGGTCCCAAGCCTGGCTAACACATAGTTGTCTGGAAGAGGTTGGGAACCACTGTGCTAAAGACAAACCTCCCCTCCCACACAAGACAATGCAATCTAAACACAAGCTAGACCCCTCATTAGTTACTGGGCAGCTGGGCATTACCAACTCTCAGGAAAGTGGGGAGGTTTTCTCCCGAGAAACATTTCCAATCACTGTCACCACCCAATGCAACTTCAGCCTCCACACCCCCATTCTGAGTATGTAGCTCACTGAGGCCCACCACTTGCTGTGCGTGTCATAGAATCATAGAATATCAGGGTTGGAAGGGACGTCAGGAGGTCATCTAGTCCAACCCCCTGCTCAAAGCAGGACAAGTCTCCAACTCATCGTCCCAGCCAGGGTTTTGTCAAGCCTGACCTTAAAAGCCTCTAAGGAAGGAGATTCCACCACTTCCCTAGGTAACCCATTCCAGTGATTCACCACCCTCCTAGTGAAAAAGTTTTTCCTAATATCCAATCTAAACCTCCCCCACTGCATCTTGAGACCATTACTCCTTGTTCTGTCATCTGGTACCACTGAGAACAGTCTAGAGCCATCCTCTTTGGAACCCCCTTTCAAGTAGTTGAAAGCAGCTATCAAATCCTCCCTCATTCTTCTCTTCTGCAGACTAAACAATCCCAGTTCCCTCAGCCTTTCCTCATAAGTCATGTGCTCCAGCCCCCTAATCATTTTTGTTGCCCTCCGCTGGACACACACTAATTTTTCCACATCCTTCTTGTAGTGTGGGGCCCAAAACTGGACACAGTACTCCAGATGAGGCCTCACCAAATGTTGAATAGAGGGGAATGATCACGTCCCTCGATCTGCTAGCAATGCCCCTACTTATACAGCCCAAAATGCCGTTAGCCTTCTTGGCAACAAGGGCACACTGTTGACTCATATCCAGCTTCTCGTCCACTCTAACCCCAAAGTCCTTTTCTGCAGAACTGCTGCCTAGCCATTCGGTCCCTAGTCTGTAGCAGTGCATGGGATTCTTCCTTCCTAAGTGCAGGACTCTGCACTTGTCCTTGTTGAACCTCATCAGATTTCTTTTGGCCCAATCCTCTAATTTGTCTAGGTTCTCTGTATCCTAACCCTACTCTCCAGCATATCCTACCACTCCTCCCAGTTTAGTGTCATCTGCAAACTTGCTGAGGGTGCAGTCCATGCCATCCTCCAGATCATTAATGAAGATATTGAACAAAACCAACCCCAGGACCGACCCTTGGGGCACTCCGCTTGATACCGGCTGCCAACTAGACATGGAGCCATTGATCACTACCCGTTGAGTCTGACGATCTAGCCAGCTTTCTATCCACCTTATAGTCCATTCATCCAGCCCATACTTCTTTAACTTGCCACGCATTAAACATGGGCCTGACACGGTACTCAACACAGCAGCAGCCGCTTATGCCTGTGCAGCCCTCTGCCAAGCCTCTGTTCTGCAGCACAGCAGGAAACATACAAAAGCAGATGAATGTATGCACCTGGATAGGACAGGGGCAGGAGACGTCGACGACGTAGACTGTTTATACCCAAATAGATCAATGACCCAAATAGATCAGGGAAAGCATAGTCAGAGCCTGATGGAAAAAAAATAGTACTTCTACACCTCAGCTTGTCATGGCTGACTTGCATGTCAGGAAGTTTGGTTCCCACCCCCAAACACACTCTTTTACTTAGAACCTCTATGAACAAACATGTGGGCACTAGGGGGCACTATTGTGCAAAGAATAGTCTAGCACGGTCTCGGCATGGAAAGCACAGAGAGGTAGAAACTAAATATTACAGACAAGCTTTTAAAAGTAGTAATCAAATCTTGCTAGCTGGAGTGGAAGAACAAAAACAATACCGAGGTAGAACTATACTCCCATACCTCAGGCTGTGACCTTTTCAGATCTTGTCAGCCCTGATCAGCACTTCATGGGAGGCCAGGATAAAAGGGTGCTGGAAGAAGTTGAGTTTGTGACTCAGTAAAGTGGCATTCTACCCCTCACCCTACCAAGTTAATACTGAACCAACACTCCAGCTTGGGGTTAACCGTGATGAGCTGCTGGTAGTGCTGTGGAATATATAAAATGCAAAACTGAAGTTCACTTGGGCTCATTCAACATCCCAGGGCATTTCCCGTATGAGTAGGGGTGTTAATCTTGGTCTTGGCCCAATTCCTGTTTGGTTCATTTCATCCTGCCTCTATTCTCTATAGCTTCTAATGAAAAAGGATTCTTTACAGTCTGCCATAAGCTTCTGTGTAGTGTTGCTTTCACTGTTAAACATCTATGTTTCAGCCATGCATTTCCATGGTAGGAGATGATGTGTCTTTCAAGGTTTTGTATTCGTGCCTACCCCTGTCAAATCTGAGCACGCAAAAAAACCACACGAGTTTGTTGGATTTGTGGAACTATGTTTCTGCCAGATTTTGATTAGGGTTTTAAATGTACATGCCCCTGGGGAAAAAAGGAATATAATTTGGTTTTAATATACAAGCTTTCACATTAAAGATATTGAATAGTTACGTAGAACAATTAGACACAGATGTATGGACCATAAGACAAATGGAATAGCCAACGTAAAACCTGTTATATTGGGCCAAATCTTGAATTCTTTACTAAGACAAAATTCTTACTGATGTCAGAGAAACACAGAATTGTTATACTGAATCGTATCTATGGCGCAGCTAGTCCAGTATCATGTGTCTGACAACGGCCAGTACCAGATGCTCCCGAGGAAGGTGCATCAGGGTCTTTTCCTGATCTCTAGTAGTTGGATTGGCTTAAACCCTGAAGCCTGAGGTTTAATATCCTTCCAAATTTTGTTTTATAACAACTTCCTTGATAGTTTTGAAATCCATGTATCAGAGGGGTAGCCGTGTTAGTCTGTTATCCACAAAAACAATGAGAAGTCCGGGGGCACCTTAAAAGACCAACAGATTTATTTGGTCATAAGCTTTCGTGGGTAAAAAACCCACTTCTTCAGATGCATGGAGTGAAAATTGCAGATACAGGTGTAAATATATATTGGCACATGGAGACGGGAGTTACCTTACAAGTGGAGAACCAGTGTTGAAGGCCAATTCGATCAGGGTAGATGTGGTCCACTCCCAATAATTGATAAGGAGGTGTCAATACCAAGAGAGGGAAAATTGCTTTTGTAGTGAGCCAGCCACTCCCAGTCCCTAATTCAAGCCCAAATTAATGGTGTTAAGTTTGCAAATGAATTGTAAATGAATTGTAACTCTGCAGTTTCTCTGTGAAGTCTGTTTTGGAAATTTTTTTTGTTGAAGAATAACAGATTTAAAAGTAGCCATTGAATGTCCAGGGAGATTAAAGTGTTCTCCTACTGGCTTTTGTATGTTACCATTCCTAATGTCTGATGTGTGTCCATTTATCTTTTTAGGTAGAAACTGTCCGGTTTGGCCAATGTACATGGCAGAGGGGCATTGCTGGCACATGATGGCATACATCACATTAGTAGATGTGCAGGTGAATGAGCCCCTGATGGTGTGGCTGCTGTGGTTGGGTCCTATGATGGTGTCGCTAGAGTAGATATGGGGACAGAGAAGGCAACAGGGTTTGTTACAGGGATTGGTTCCTGGGTTAGTGTTTCTGTGGTGTGGTGTGTAGTTGCTGGTATTTGCTTTAGGTTGCGGGGCTGTCTGTAAGCGAGGACTGGCCTGCCTCCCGAGGTCTGTGAGAGTGAGGGATTGTTTTTCAGGATAGATTATAGATCATTGATGATGCGCTGGAGAGGTTTTAGTTGGGGGCTGTACATGATGGCCAGTGGTGTTCTGTTATTGTCCTCCTTGGGCCTGTCCCGTAGAAGGCGATTTCTGGGTACCTGTCTGACTGTGTCAATCTGTTTCCTCACTTCCCCAGGTGGGTATTGTAGTTTTAAGAACGCTTGAAATCCATATCCAATTTTGTTTTGAATCTTTCTAAATTCTTGGCCTCAATGACTTCCTGCAGCAATGAGTTCCACAACCAATCACATGTGTGAGAGTTTCTTTTATTGGTTTTGAATGTCTTACACTGAAACGTAATTGACTGTCCCCTTGTCCTTGTGTTACAAAACAGAGAGATAAGAAGTTCCCGATCCATGTTCTCTATACCATGTGGATCATACACTTATATCCCCTCTTATTCATCCCCTTACTAAGATAAAAATCCCAATTTTTTCAATTTCTTCACATACGAGTTTCTCCACGCCCTGGATCACTCTTATTACCTTTCTTTGAACCCTTTTCTAGTTCTGCACTACCCTTTCTGAGATGGGATGACAGTACTGTCCACACTATTCCAGACACGTCCACACCATTGATTCGCATCAAGGCATTGTAATATTTTTCCACTCTTTTCCTTAGATACTCTAACATCTTGTTTGCTTCTCCCTCCCTCCCAAAAAAGCTGTACATTGAGTAGAGGACTTCAATGAGCTGTCTACGACGACACCCTTTCCTGAGCTGGCAACTTAATTTAGAATCCTGTAAGGTGGGAGAATTTTTTACCAAGACAGTACTTGGACAAACTGAGTAAGGACTTCAGGATTTGGCTCTTCATCAACAACTGTAGCATCTTTTATCTTGAAGGATCCTAGAGCAGTGTTTCTCAACAACCAGCCTCTGGACCAGCGCTGGTCCCTGAGATCTCCCTGATACAGTTTAGGAAGGTAGCAAGCCGGTCCCTGGTATCAAAAAGGTTGAGAAACACTGTCCTAGAGCATTTTACAGCAACACTTAAAGGAATCAATTCATTCATGGCTGAAATGCAGCCATCTCTAGGGTGGAATGCAGCAGTTCAACACTGCACAGCAACACTAAACAGATATATTCAATTTTGTGCCTGGCAACAGTTGATCATGAGAACTACTTTTCCTGAGAGAGAATGTTAATGAGGACACAGGAATTATCCCTAACTAAGAAGTGCTGTGGGAAGATCCACTTGAACGAGTAGTTCAACTTCATAGAAAATGGGAGGGGCTACCAACAAAAGGGCGGACTATATTTACTAACTAAAGACATACTTGCAGATGCGGATCAATCTCAAATATGGTCTCTCCTCTTCGCATATCTGTTATCAGCCACAGGCCTCCAGCACTACAAAGAAAGAAAGGCAGTGAACCAAAGTTACTCACCCCGACCAGGAGCTCCCACCATTTTGGTGCTTAATCAGAACAGGTGCCTGGACGAAACAGGTAATGGACGGACTGCTTGTAAGATCCAGCGTGCCCAGTCACCCTTTAAATCCACGATTACATCATGAAAGTTCATTACACTGCATGTTACTGCATGGCTGTGCTCAACACTGCTCAGCCTTGCATTGGAGACTCTCTCCTATTCTTGAATCCTGCCGAAGTGTTCCAAAGTTCAGAGCTGCTGCCCAGCTCAGGAAGACAGTTAATATGGTTTGATCCCATTTACATTGCAAGACTGAATTAAGTTTTAGCCTTGCTAGGCACTGAGTTGTAACCAAGTAAAATTTCAGTGTTTACACATAGGCTAAATTTAACAAGATCAGGGCCCAAATTGACAAAAATATTTAGGTGCCTATTTGCAGCCTTAGGTGACTAAATACCTTTGTCAATCCATCCTAGATCAGCAGAGTCACATTCAGTATCATAACTAGCTTCCTACCGTGGCTAACGTTCCTACATTTTGCCTGGTTAGTATCCATGGTGCACATAAATGGTTCCGAGCAGTCTTAGCTTTTGTTAGCAATGAGGGTTGAAAGGCTCAACACCTCTCCTAGCAGAGGTGATGGGAGACAGTTTATTGCAAAAAGAGGCATCCTGAATTTTCACTTTGGGTCACAAGCAGCATAGATGGACTACGTCAGTTTAGAGCTGTATTTTTGAACTGATTTACTAGAATTGCTCATCGAATATGTTATTGCAACCAAACATCTCTTCTTGCCTTAAATGTTCATCTTACACTTTCCTTATACACTAGATGTTAAAATGGTAAAAATTAGTATTTCATATTTTCTGATATGTATTGGTGATCACTGGTTTATCATATCACTTTGGGATTGGCAATTGTTAACTACAAAGATGCTATTCACTGCAATCCCTGAAAACTGTGATACTACAGATGCAATTCCTGATTACCTAAAATCAAGGCAGCTTTTGGCTTCAAAACACGGGTATTTCTTGGTTTTTGCCCTATCCTTGGAGATATATTTGAAAGAAATGCCCAATCTAGTAGAGCTGGTCAAAGAACTGCACTCTTTGTTTTGTCTTTTTGAGTATTTAACAAGGAGAATGAAACAGCTCCACACAGCCTTTGAGCAGTCAGGGGTCAGACACTGTTTCAGTGTCTTGGGGTCATAGGAAAAAGGCTTGCATCCATGCTAAAGTTTTCCTCCCTGGGGCATCCTCAGGGACTGTCTGCACCTGTGCGGAGAGGAAGGGTTCAGAGTGAAACAGAGATATCAGCCTAATTCTGGACTGTCCCAGATATCTAAGCTGGACTTTTGAAAATAAAGCACTTTGTTGGGGCTAGAAAAGCCTGAGAAGTTTAATGGAGCCCTGGCATGTGCATGCAAAAACATTTAATATAAAACCTTTTGATCTATTACTATACCGCAACACCTTCCTCACCTTTAAAGATACGAGAAAAACGTTTGACTAAAACGTCTGGTGACGTGTATCCTAGCAAGCAAATACTGTAACAGTGATCTGCTGCTAATTCTTATATCTTTAAAACCACATCTTTCTTTGCCCAATACTGATTTTGTTTTTTTGCAAGAGGGAAATTACACAAAACCAGTCTTACTAGGAAAATAAGTACCATTCCTTGTGTGAATTAGCCCACCTGATCGGACTCAAATAGTTCATTTATAGAGATGCGGTCCAAACTTTGCTAGTACTCTAGCAAACTAGGCTCCTTCCCTCTTATTTTGAGCTGTATTGAAAGGTCACCTCAGTAAATTATTCTGGCTTAGCATCTGGTTCTTTTAGGAAGAACTAATGAGAAAATGCCACAGGCATAAGAGGAAGGAAATTAAAAGTCGAATATCTCATTCTACAGTAACTCCCCACTTAGTGTCCTCTCGCTTAACGTTATTTCGATCTGATGCCCCTGCTCAATTACAGAACATGCTCCATTTAAAGTTGTGCAATGCTTTGCTATAACGTCGTTTGGCTGCCTGCTTTGTCCACAGTTGACAACCCCCCATCAACTCCCCTATGCCCCCCCCTCCCCGCAGACCCCGTGGATCAGCGCCTTCTCCCTTCTCCCCCCACGGCAATCAGCTGGCTTGCGGCGTTCGGGAGGGAGGGAGGGGGAAGAAGCGAGGACTTGGCGCACAGGCTCCCACTCCCTCCCCTGCCTCCCAAACGCCGCAAACCAGCTGATTGCCGTGGGCAGGAGGCAGGGGGGAGGAGCGAGGACTTGAGGCACCTCCCCTCTCCCTCCCCTGCCTCCTGCCCGTGGCAATCAGCCGGCTTGCGGCGTTCAGGAGGCAGGGGAGGGAGGGGGGAGGAGCGAGGACACGGCGTGCGGAGTAAAGGGGGAGGAGGAGGGGAAGAAGAGGCGGGTTAAGGGTGGGAGCTTGGGGGAAGGGGTGGCGTGGGCGGGCCGAGGGTTGAGTCCCCCGCCCCGGTGCTTGCAGAGTAGGGGAAGCTGCCGCTGCTGCTGCACAACGTGCTTCTCCTAGCCTACAGCACCTTCAGTCTCCTTGCCTGCCTCACTGTCTCCAGTGCCAGTGGACTGTGCCTGTGTGGGGTAAGGCGGGGGCACCTCCCAACTATAGTACTGTACTGTATGGCAAAAAAATTTTTTCCCCTGGAACGTAACCCCCCCCCCCCCCCCCATTTACATTCATTCTTATGGGAAATTGGATTCGCTTAACATTGTTTCACTTAAAGTCGCATTTTTCAGGAACATAACTACAACGTTAAGTGAGGAGTTACTGTACTCTATTCTGAACAAGTGGATTCTCACATGTGTTAATAGCCATCTCAGTCTCTGCAGGTAAGGAAAGAGTTGCACTGAGCTCCCACCTCCCACAAAGCATCTTTAAATAAACAATCTACACGTTACAAATAAAAAACAAGTGACAACGTTGCCTCCTATTGGGCACCATTTCTGCCAGGCTGCTTGGGGTGATAAGCATTTATGAGCACTTGCTTCAGAAGTCAGGTGGGGGTGCTGTACTTACACGGGCACAGTCCGAAGCAACTCCAAGATCCCCTGTCCGTTCCACTGCTGTGCTGCATGCAGCTCCTCAGTGCAAACCCCAACGATCTAGAGCAAGAACAAATGGACTAAACACAATGCAACAGGTGCAAATGTACCAAGTGCCAATGGAGCGAGTGTTGGCTGGTAAGATACGGGGGTGCGAGGCTGGTCCTTTAAGCTAGTTGGAGCTATAAAACAAGCCTGGGCTTGTGCAGAAGAACTACTATGCAGCCCTTTAAGCTGTTGTCCACATGCCTCATGGCCCCCGCCCCTCTGTTTCAACATGCCCCTCCTACATGCCCTACGACAATCAAGCTTTAAAACAGAAACGTATCTCATTAATTTCTTCATTTTCATGATCATTTTTTCTTATGGATCAAAATAAAACCACAACAATAAACCATCATACAAATGAAGGGGGAAAAATCAATGTTCTCACTGGGAATAGGGTTGGAGGGCTAGGATCCATGAACGGGGGGAGGTGGGCTGTGTACGACAGAAGGGATAGGGGCCGCAGAGCAGTGAAGAACAGGGAGTTAGCTAGGAGCTCTATTGCTTAGCCTTGCCCCCCTGCCTCCATCTCACCCATGACCTTCTTATTGATCCCCCCCATTATCTATCCCTTCCCCAGCCAGTCTTCCTCTTATACAGTAAAGCCCAAAAGTCAAAGTCTTAATCTGACAGACTTCCTCAGGCCCATCACATGGGGACTCCCTGCTGATGAACTTCAGAGAGAGCCAGTGCCTTTGCAGCAGAGTTGCAAGGTGTGGGTCTCTGATTACATGGGCTTCAACATTAGGCTTCTCTTGGTCTCCTCCCGGACCCCCTCCCCGTTAGTAGTAGGGGATACAGACAGGAAGGAAGAGAGCTCTTCCTGCAGGAGAAGCTGCTCCCTGTAGCATGGGGAAAATCAAAGCAGCTGGTGGGATCTGAGCAGCAGCTAGTTTTACTGGCATAGCTCAGTTAGGATCTCCTGAATAAGGGGAATAACTGTTTCAATTTAAAACATTTAATAAGTGATCTAAGATGTGAGTGAGAGAGAGAGACGTTTGGTGAAGGGGGAAGACTGTCGATTAGCTAGAACCCAAAGAAATGAGATTCAGGGCTATGTTTCAAGGAGTCTTTTTTTTTTTTTAAAAAAAATGTTTCTTTTGCACATCAATACTTTTCTTAAACATTAGCTTGTTAGATGGAAAATTTCACTGGCCTCCGAAGAGTGTTTTGCATCAAGTTTGCAGACTAAAATTCAACCATTAAGTATGCAATTAAAATTCAACCAATAAGTATCTCCTGCTTTAAGTGCAAATCTCAATGCAACCTTAACTACGCTGCCACCTACTGACGCTCCCATAATATTTTAGATATAATTTAGGTCACCAGTATAAGCAAAGCATACTTTGTGGAAGTATTTTTGCTCACTGTGTTTTACTTTCCCATTGATTTTCCAAGTTTTATTGGACCAAATACGTATTATAGTTCGTTCAACGCCTGGCTGCATTTCAGTGGGTCAAATTACTTTTCTATCAGCCCCAGAAAGGGGACAGCTCCACTCCTGATCTGAGAACTAGAGTGCAGGGGATGATACCTCCTGGTTATAAGCAAAAGAAGAGTGAAAACCCTGGTAAATCCCCATCTAAAAACCTGCTGACACTCCTCAGTGACAAAACCTCTTGATCATCAAAGCTGCAGGAAGAAAGGTGGAAATCAGACAAATAATCATTAAGCAGAAGATGTTGCAGAATGGTGTTATTCATCATCAGGGAAGAATGTGATGTCAGCTCTGTACGGTAAGTATTAGTTCCCAGAAAACGATGACCAGAACAGCCATTACTTTTCTATACCTGTAGGAAATTAACAACCCCAAAAGGGGTCTGTACTGGTTGCATTTGAGGATCTTCAGTGTGACGTTATTGATATAATCTGGGACCATATAGATCATTGTTGCAACCAAGGTCCTGTAGTGGCACCCAAATCTTGTATAAAGGGGGTCAAATGGGGTGTCTTAGACATGGTTAAGGTTTACTGGTTATGATTATGCGATCTATATGTGTGTATCAATTTTATAGTTGAAGTTATGAATATTGGCTCTATACTGTCTGTATTTCAAATTTATGCTATGCTTCTGGGTGACATCCCAGACAAGCTGGTGTTACCTCTGCCTAGCCTGCTTGATGGCCCATTAAGGACCATCAGCTATACAATGGACCCATTGAGAGAAGGCAAATATGCCTTGAGACTCAAAGTATGCAGGGACTGGCCCATGTGACTCCAGACTCCATTTTGCTGTAATTTTCCACAGTAAGGACAAGGAGGTGTTCTTACACCTGGAAAAGACTATATAAGGCTGATGCCTCATCTCCATCTTGTCTTCAATCCTGCTTCTTACCTCTGGAGGGACTTTGCTACAAACCGAAGCTCTGAACAAAGGACTGAGGACCCATCCCAACTGGGGATGTATTCCAGAGACTTGATTTGAACCTGCAGTTTATTCTATCGCTGCTGCAAGCCTGAACCAAGAACTTTGCCATTATTGTATGTAATTGATTCCATTTAACCAATTCTAACTCTCATCTCTGTCTTTTTCCTTTTATGAATAAACCTTTAGATTTTAGATTCTAAAGGATTGGCAACAGCGTGATTTGTGGGAAAGATCTGAGTTGTATATTGACCTGGGTCTGGGGCTTGGTCCTTTGGGATCGAGAGAACCTTTTTTGTGTATATTGGGATATTGGTTTTCATAACCATTTGTCCCCATAACGAGTGGCACTGGTGGTGATACTGGGAAACTGGAGTGTCTAAGTGAATTGTTTGTATGACTTGTGGTTAGCCAGTGGGGTGAAACCAAAGTCCTCTTTGTCTGGCTGGTTTGGTTTGCCTTAGAGGTGGAGAAACCCCAGCCTTGGGCTGTAACTGCCCTGTTTTAGCAATTTGTCCTGAATTGGCACTCTCAGTTGGGTCTCGCCAGAACTGCATCGTCACATACCTGTAGGAAATTAACAACCCCAAAAGGGGTCTGTACTGGTTGCATTTGAGGATCTTCAGTCAGCAACATATGCTGGATTCTGGATTCACTGTTGTCCAAAGGACTGTGCCATGATACATGGTCGCCACTACAGAAGGTATTTTCTGAGGAGGGGGGGAAAAAAACAAAGATATTTAGTAATAAAACTGCGGCCAGTATCCACCCATCCAACTCATCCTTAGAGAAGGAAGGTTATCTAGCTGGCATTTGAATTTACACTTAAAATTGATCTGTTTCTGATCACAGACCTGCTGCAAGCACAGTGCTCTGGACGGACCACCACCACCACAGGAAGACAGGCTAAGAGCATGTGTCTTGCTTCCATCTATTATTATATAACCCATTTAATTTCTCTTGGAGGGACATACTAATGAGAATATAATACACGAAGACATCTAGCTATATTGTATGATTACTGAATGGCAAATCATGGCCATAATGAAGAAAAGATGCCAAATGGCAGATGAAGTTTATCATCTGCAGAAGGTCATAGCTAGGCTGTTACAAGTCTGGCAGGAAAGCTGAAATCATCTTCTCCCGCAACCATATGTTTTAACTACTCTGGTGCTGCAATTTGAATAGCAGAGTGCCCTCTGACCTCACTCCACAATGGTGGAAAAGCCTCTAGATGGCTATAACCATCACTGTATGCTGGGATAACTGAAACAGATTAGGATCCAGAAATTCCTCCTTACCCTTCCCTGCTATGAGTGTGTGACAATTTCTCTCCTCTCTTGCTCAGACAAAAAGAGGAGGAAGAGAGAAGATTAGCTCCATGCACTGTATCTGGCGGCTGTTAGGCAAGGTATTCCAGGGGAGTGGCACAATGGAACCTGTTTATATAGGAGAAAACTTCACGGTAAAGGTGACACGCTTGTGAAAATCAGAGTGAAGTACTCTGAAATGCAATGACACAACTCAGACATTTTCACTTCAAAAGAAGCAGGTTCCCCTGTGAATGCCACCAGAGGTAATTCTGTACCTTTTGTAAACTGAGGACCCTATGTTTGGTTCTCGTCCTCATCCCATGCTTGTTGTTCTCGGTACTTTGACAGTAGGTACTAATTAACATTCCAGAGACCAAGTTCTGTCCTTTAACGCAAATATGGGATTTCCAATCTAGTCAGTGGATATGGGCATTGTGTGCACGCCTCTGAAATCAGTGTCTATCACACAGCCTTCCCTTTCTTGAGGAATGTTTTATAAAGCCAGCTGTCTCTCAAAAAGTGGGGAGCCTGCTGTCCTCATAATGGAATGTTCTAATGTCACAGTTGTACCAGGTGAGAGGAAGTGTTTCCCTTTCTAATTAAAAATCACACAGAACACTAATCCTGCAGAAAGGAAAACGTGAATGGTTAATGTAAAGTAGTGTTCCATCTGGGATACTGCCTACGGGATCAGAGCGTGATCCCGTTCAGAAGAGGGGTGTTGTCTGCTCTGAAGTTCTCTCACCCCCACTATTAACACACACATACCTTTTTGTACCATTAGCGGTATCCACTCCCTACCGCACCCTCCAGCTGCATGACCACCATTCTGAACATTTCCTTTGAAATAAATATCTATGTGGCTGACCTCTCAGCTCTTATTCACTGAGCAGTCCTGCTGACTTCTATGGCACTCTTTGGGTGGGTATGAATTAATCCTGTTGAGTAAAGGATGTTTGCCTGTAATTGTGTCATCAACTAACATTAGACAATGATGGATTGAAGCGCTCTGGACTAATTTACTGTGGCAATTCTTAGTTTCTCCACCAGATGTCCCCACTGTTTATTCGAAAGTTTATAAGTCATCTTTTACAACTGCATTTACTGATTTGATTAAAAAAAAAAATCAAAATAAACTCCAAGTACCAAGGGCAACTTGGCCAGACAGGTTGGGTGTGGAACAGAAGTGTTGTAATAAGTAAGGGAAAAGATTTCACACGTTAAAACTAGAGAAGGAAAAAATGCATCAGATAAGAGCTGCTTAAAAACAGCTTAACACTGTACACAATAAATTAAACGCCCTGAGCTCTTCAACCGAAGGGAATGAGGGATACACATTTTAGTGCATGGCTCTCACATCCCTTTCTTTTAGGGTTACTGAGACAACAAGAAGATTGCAAAATAAAAATTAAGTAAGATTTCCAAGTATCAAAATTCAATACGTTTATTTTTAACTATAACTTGAAATAAATAGTGCTTACAATTTCATGAAAGATCCTTCCAATATTTTCCAGTGAGCCAGCCTATTAACTGAGATCTGGCCGATTAACGATTTTTTTAATGATAAAAGCCTTTTGGTCACAGTTTTCAGGCATTAAACAAAGCCACAAAAGAGCTCATTCTTGGGCCCTGTCTTTATGCCACAAGATTTTGCACATCAAATGCTCACTCAATTCTATGCTGATCGATCGCTAAGTTTCACTGCTGGTACTGCTTCTCCTGGGAAATCCCAGTCCATTTACAGCAGGTTTTCAAATGCAAATGTCTCTGCTGGAAACCCACCTGTTTATGTCTATACGAACTCTGAACACTTAGAAAATGTTTTTTTCTCTCTCACACACACACACACACACACACACACACACACACACACCCCACAAAATTCACATTGACTGCTCAATTAAACCACAAAAAACCTAATGTGCAAATAACATGATCCCCAATTTAAACCCACAAGAGCCAGGAAATTCAGAGTTTAGCCTTGAAACTCGGCTCTTAATTCACTGTAATTGTAGCCCATGCGAGATGAGCTCTTGTACAGAAACCATCGCTATACCTAGGCAAGTTTGAATTACAGAAGTTTCAACAGTGTGAGCCAAGAAATTATAGGAACAAAAGAGGGCCAGATACACCATCTAGGTCCACTTCCTTGTGCGGAGGTAACAGCTGATGCTACCGACCTTCTCCCCTGGCCCCCTTCAAACTTACAACATTATGAAAAAGTGCAAGAACAATGAAAGTCTTTATTTGTGTGAGTTTAAGATGGACAAGATTTAAAAAAACAAAACAAACAAAAAGCCCTACACCACACCTAGAAACCCCAAAGCTTGATTCTCCAATCAAAAGTTAAATTTGATTCAACAAACTAAGTTTTGGCACAGTCATGGTTGCATCAGAACGCTCCCTACCACCCAAAACCTTAAAAGCATGGAAATAAGAAGTTAAAGGAAAAAGTCCCCTGCATCGTTTGCCCCCCTTCAAATGGCCGATAATACCATTGATGAGACACTCCAACACTTCATAAGCCTTCTCTCCCCTCTCCAAAGGCATGCCAAAAATGTGATACATACGCCAGCTTCATGAAGTGCGCATACTCACGCAAACCCAAGCGGGAACAGGCCACGGGCACTACACCAGGTAAATGGGAAACACATGAGGTGCAGTGGGAGAAATACCTTTCCTGCCCAAATGTGAAGTGTTGCATGCTCGAGGGGTCTGCCTCACAGAATCAGAAACCTTCAGGAAGGGACCTTGGAAAGGTCATCTACTCCAGCCTCCCACACTGAGGCAGGACCAAGTAGAAGAGTAAGGGAGCTGACCTGATACCTGCTCCTTTGGACCAAACAGCATCTTTCTGCTACAGTGCACTTCCATTGTTCCCAGACTACAGGAATCAACGTAAAGATGCAGCAATTCATCATCTCAAAGTCATTTTTACGATCTTTGGTTTGTACTCAACTACATCTCTAAGAACGTTTTCTCAAGCTGGCTCTCACTAGACTCCCTCCCTCCGCCAATTTTTGTGATTTTGCAGCCACCACTTCCTATTCTTTACATGTTTCTCTCCATACTAGTGTGTGACAGACTTACTATACCAGACACCAGCTATATAGGAAGTGCTGGCAAATGCATAGAATAATACTGCAAGAGAAAGATTTTCATAGGTGTTATAAGCTACAGCAGGCAAATTTTCAGAAATAAGTGAGTTGTTTGGTAAATCATTGATACCTCTTAGGCAGGGGTCGCCATGTCCTTGTAGCTTTTCTGGAAACTTCCATATGGTTGAAATAGTCATTATACTGCACCCATTGGCATGATATCTAGCCCCTCTAACGTGCTCTGTCATGGCTCCCACTTAACCATTGACAGGCTATGCAGATTAGCATTATTTAGATATACTTTTTCCTATTTGGGTGGTTTCAAATTTTTTTTGCAACTGCTGACTACAACATACCCTAAGGGGTTCTTACTTGCATCTTGCAGTTTTGTTTACACATGCTTCCTAACAAGGCAAAAGGAAAGAAATATTTATTTGGGGCTGGAACCTAAACGATAGATGGCGGGGTTTATAATAAAAGTGGGGAAAAGCCATTAGTTACCACAAAGCAAACACCTCCTTGACTACCACCACAAGAGAGGAAGCCATCAATCTCAGGACAGTCATACTAGCACTGAAAGCTAGAATCATGGTGGGATTGCCGTTTCTTCTTTCACCTTCCACTTTAACTCTCTCCCTACAGGAAGCTAACAGGAGCCCCGTTGTGGCCAGAGGAAATAATTTTATATAGCAGGGGAGGAATTTGGTCTGCACTTGCAGTAAGAATATTTTACTTAAAGATTGTCCTGTCAGTTGGGAAGAAGCCAGTTGGAATGTTCATGCCCCAGGAGACTTTCTGGAGGCTTCTTTCGGGGGGGGGGGGGGATTTAAATGGAGGAAAGCATCATTGGTTGGCGCGACAGTGTGAGGTGTGCCGATTGTGTGGGATGGGGGCTCAATGAGCTATGAGACACAGATGGGAAGGAGGGCAGGGGGATGGGACTCAAAACAGACCAAGCTTTAAAGCAAGACGGCTTTTGCTCTCAGTAATTCAAATTGTACATGCAACACACCGGAGATTTACCTTGGTTACAAATAAAGAAGGATGGGGATGGAGGAGTGTTCCAAATGCTCTGTTCTCTGCCAGCACTATATGTTTTAAGCACGTTATACAACTCCACTGACGCATCAAAAACAGCTAATTTACAAAAGAAATGTATTTAACTTTAAAAAAATAAAATAAAACTAAGTAACCAGAAAAAGTTAGAAAAGTCTCTTTAAGGATGTATCAAAGCTGCGCACTTAGAACAAAGCACAGGAAGGGTGCTGGGAGTTAGTTAAATGGAAAGCTGTGGCGAAG